AAAGATGGGGAGCGGCCTGAGACAGGAAAGCGAGCTCGTACTGCCTGTCCTCTAGGACGTCACTGCTAAGGGCAGCGACACCCCCGACGGACGGAGGGCAAGCAGGGTCAGAGAACAGAGCAGTGGCATAGTCAAGGTGGCAGGTAGCGGCGAAGTCGGTGATTGCAGTGACAAGAGCCGACAGACTCGAGACAGGAACAGACGAGTGTGTAACAAGAGAGGCAAGGACACGAGGAACAAGGGGACGTGCAACACAGAGGAAGTCAGAGAACACGGGCGGAGCCACATCAAGTGACGACGGAGGAGGAGACAGGAGGAGCGGAGGAGCACGAGACGCGCGGGAGCGAAGCAATATAGGGTGAGACCGCTGAACAGGGGAGAGCACGAGACGGACGACGAGACCAGATGTGAGAGTGAGGAGTCGGGTTAGGAGAGAAGGGAGGATACATAGGAGGAGAATGGGGAGGGAAACGAGCCGGAGAGGAGTCCGGGCGAGGAAACGCATGGCCGTAGACCGGCAGAGGAGGAGGCGGCGGCAAAGGAGGAGGCACTGACAGGCAGTCAAGGGAAGGAAGTCTGAGGAGGCGAAGAGCGGACAACGGCGGCGACTGCTGCGACTGCTGCCCGACTCCAACACCAGAACCCCTAGCGACAGCACGGCTCCCTCCGAGAAGCTCCATGCCAGCACCCCCAGAATGGGAACCCGCTCCAGTACCCGCTCCAGCACGCTCCAAAGCACCCCCAGAACGCAGGAACCCCAGCGGCGGTAACGACGGCGGCTGTGGCCGCGGCGGTGACGGCTGCATCGGAGGCGGCTGCGGCAGTGACAACAATGGCGGTGACGGGGAACAAGAGACCAGGGGGGGGAGGGGCGGGGGAAGGGAGTTTCGCAGAGCCGCGAGAGTCAGCAGACTCCTCGGCAGAGACACCCGACGGGAGAGGGGTGACATGAGACACACCAGACGGGGCAGGGAGGGGAGGGGGGGGAGCCAGGGCAACCGGGGGAGGGGGAACCAAGAACAGGGGGTGGGTACCCGGGGACCACGGTGGGGAAAGTGGTGGTAGAAGGAGACGGACTCGTCAAAGGTGACGTCGCAGGAGTGAAAGAAGCGGTGAGATGGGACACAGGGGAAACAGGACTGAAAGACACAGGGGACGGTGCGGGCAGTGAGCTTGTCCATGCCAGAGGCACGAACGTGAGCAAGGCAGCCCCAAACGTGAAACGCAGACTCGTCACCAGGGGACCCGGTCCAGAGAAGGGTCGACGAAACCTGCGGCTGTTGAGGGTGCAGCCACATGTTAAGCTGGTGAGTGGCGTAGCGAACCGCGAACGGCCACAAAAATTGTGGTGCACCGACATGGATCATGGAGGTACGAGCCACCTCCATGACCAAACCGATGCGTTGCTCAGCAACCCCATTCTGCTGCGGGGAGTCCGGCAGGGTGAACGTCTGGGTGATGCCCTCCGCACGATAGAAGCGACCAAGGAAGCAAGAGGCAAACTCGCCACCACGGTCGGAGTGAAGACGCAACACAGGGAGACCTCGGTGAACACGCGCAGACACAAGCCACGGGATAAGAACGTCAGGCACGTCGGCCTTCCGCTCCAGGGGAAACACCGTGGTGTAGCGCGTGTAGTCGTCGACAAGCACGAGGAAGTAGCACTCTCGACGCGGCCCATGGACGGGGGCGGGGCCCTAGACGTCCATGTGCAGGGTCTGCAGCGGTGCGGCGGTGGTAGGGAAAGAGGAGGAGTGAGGAGCACGGCGGAGCCGGCCCTCGACGCAGGGTGTGCACAGCGGCGCTGGTGAGGAGGGTAACGCAGGGAATGACTCAGTAAGACCTAAGACAAGACCGTGATGAGACATGTGATGAAGACGTGGGAGGGCAGGGTGACCTAGACGGTGGAGCCACATGAGCGTCGAGTGAGTAAGCGACGGACACAAGCAAGCCGTAGCAACCTGGGTAGACGCAGACACCTGGGGGGACGTCCCAACCGGGGGGGGGGCGCTGTGTCCAGCGTGAACAGGCCAGACACCGGGTCCAGGGGGAACGTGGTGAGGGGAGCACCAGTGGCGGCCTCGGTACAGACAGCGTACCGCTCGTGACCAGGGAAAGTAGTGGTGACGCCAAGGTCCTGGAGGCAGCCGGCACCAACTAGGTTCCTAGAGAACGAGGGGATGTGCAGGTCTGTAAGGGAGCCCGAAGGAACCGCCGGACAGGGAAGGGTGGTGGAGCTACGGGCGACTACATGACTTGAGGAAGGGTTTGCAAGGGCAACTGCGGCGGGAGCGGCAAGTGGCGTCAGCGTAGTGGAGTCCCGAAAGAAACATCGGGAAGCGCCGGAGTCCAGGGTGAAGGAGTGCGCGACAGTAGTGGCAGGGGTCGGAGGAGCGAGGGTGGAGCCAAGGCTAAACAAAGCAGGGGATCCTACGCCTGACGCAGCAGGGGAGCCTGAACTAGTCACACCTACACTAGGCAAGGGGTAATAGGAAACAGTCACACTAGAGTCATTGACATACAGCACATACAAAGGAGAGCTAATCTCGTCCATGTCCATATCAAAGATCCCAACGCCACAGTGGAGCAGACTGTGCCAGTCGGGTAGGTCTGGCGCCGGGCCGAAGCGGAGACGAAACAGGTCCTCTAGGCGACTGAAACAACGAGTGGGGGTATTGCCGATCTTACTACACACGAGGCCGCGGCGAGGACCGGTCTGGAGCTGGTACTGGTTGCGCCCGTCACTCGGGCCACTTGGGCGAGAGACAACCGACCCGCAGCTGCTGCTGCTGGTCCAGCTGCGGCGCCTGCTGCTGCTGCTACTGGGGCTGCTGCTCCGCGGCACCAGTCCCAGCCCCCTCGTCAGTACTACCAGTGGGCGAACCACCTCCACCACCGCCTCCACCCCCTCCTCCGCTACCTCCGCCGTGCCCACCCTTGGAGCGGCGACCCTTACTTGGACGAAACTGCGCTGCGGCAGCCGCGGCGACCGTCTCCGCAGCAGGGGCTGTCTCAACGACAGCAGCAGATTCATCAGAGCAAGTGCACTGAGCGGGGGCACAGCCCTGAAAGATAGTGACCGGCACAGTACCACTAAGCTGGGCGATAGAGTGCTGACGAGTCTCTATGGCAGACACGGTGTCGACAAAGTCAGTGAGGGTGAGGTCAGCAAGGTGGAGACTAAGAGAGTGATCGCGAGCGGTAGCAAGGCGGTCAGGGAGGCGGGTGGCAAGCAGGTAGAGGGTAGAGCAGATGGGGATCTGAAACACACGAAGCTGGGCCTCACTGCAGGCAGCGCGCCAGGTCGCGTCTAGCGTGCGCAAGTGGGCGGTCAGGTCAGCGACAGTGGAGAAAGACGCGAGATCAGGAAAGAGCATGGGCAGGATCAGGCGACCGATGGAGGTAGAGGGCGGGGTGGAATAGTGCACGACAACAGCCTCTAGGAACTCCTACACAGCCCTGACTGACCTAAAGCGGGGGCGCTCAGACCAGGGGAGGGCATGACTAATCACGAGCTGTGCGACAGCATCACGCGACAACTCGACAGCACGGGCAAGGACAGCAGCGACGGCGGACTCACGGTCAGCAGACGAGCGGCCAGCGGGTAGAGCAGCAGGGGGGTCAGGGCATGGGAGCATACCATCAATGTGGACGGCCAGGGAGTGGCCGTCCCGCCGCTGACCAGTGAGGTGACGGCAGAGGACGACGAGCCACATGTCGAACTCAACCGGCTGACCCTCCGCGTCAAAGCGAAGCACCGAGTTCGCCATCATGGTCGCTGCAGCAGCAAAAAGGCGGTAGTGGGCTATACTGAGCTACAGAGTGTGCAATAGACTACAGTAGAGTGAGGTGCAGTACGGTAGAGTGCAATGCTGTGTGGTGCAGGGCGGTGGAGTGCCGTGTAGTGCGGTGGAAAGGGCCGATGATGCGAGGTGGGAGCCCCATGGGCAGCTGAGGGACGGGGCCGTGAGGAGGCTGGGCGGTGAGGCCGCGGGGCGGCTGGTCAACAGGGGCCGCGTGGCGGGCAGGCGACCAAGCCGCAGGGCGGTCAGGCGACGGGGCCGCCGGCAGCTAGGAGACGGGGTTGCGTGGCGGCTAGGAGACGGGGCCGCGGGCGGTGAGGCGACGGGGCCGGCTAGGCGGCTAGGTGACGGGGCCGCCTAGGCGACAGGGCCGGCTAGGCTACGGGGCCGGCTGAGTGACGGGGCCGGCTAAGCGAGGAGGGGGTTGGGGGGGGGGAGGGGGGGGGGGGGGGCAGCTAGGCGACGGGGCCGGCTGGGCAACGGGGCCGGCTAGGAGACGGGACCAGCTAGGCGACAGGGCCGGCTGGGCGAAAGGGCCGACGAGGCGATGGGGCCGGCTAGGCGAAGGGACTGGCTAGGCGACGGGGCCGGCTAGGCGACGGGGCCGGCTAGGCGCTAGGTGACAAGGGCCACTAGGAGACGGGCCAGCACGGGCGGGAGGGCGACGGGGTGGCTAGGACCTATTGCGGAAGCGCTGGTGGGCGGGAGGGACCTAACCTACTCATGATACCATATCAAAGTTAGCGAATAAAATATAACCATGGCATGGGAATATAACCTAGTGGGTTGCACTCTCTAAGGCACAACCCTGCGTTGTCTATAACAACATACAAGGATATGTTTGACATCTAGCACCCTTAACAAACTACCAATACCATTGTTCACAGCCAGATTATGGCCGTACAAGGATGTACACAACCCGGCTATTTTTTATACCTAAAGTCCTAACAAGACCACCGTATACAGTCAGCCTGTTCACGGTCGTGCTTTGCCCGTTAATGGCACAAAAACACCTGAAAGTTGCCATTCCTAGACCCAAATTTCTTTAGATGACATCGACAGAAAGTTCTGTGACCCTTGGTGCAACCGAGCGACTAAAGCATAACAAGGTGTGGAGTGCTGCTGTGCTGCCTCTGATTCCGAAGTTTTGATGGAAATAAGAAATTTCACTGTCAAAAGTAGAAATTGCACACACAGGGCATAGACTCAGCATAAGCAAGGCATGCATTTATTCAGTGCAAGGTCAATGCCTCTACCAGTTGGTCGGCCAATAACTCCATCTCAAAGGTTGGCCCTCCGGCTTTTATTCTGCCTTGCTAGACTATCCACTTATGCCCCAAACGACTCCACTCAACGCCTGTGTGTAGCGTGAAGTTGCCGGTACTCTCGCAGGTCTTCCCACCTGCTCCGCTCCCCACCGCCACGCGCTCAACTTCCCAAACCTCCCTGTTATAAGCCATCTCGTTACTAGATGACAACGGTGTACTCGTAGGTCGTCCCGGCGCTCCACTTGGCCGGGATCACATTCACAAGTTGCAGCACCAGCTGCTGCCCGGCCTGGGCCACCTCTGTGACGCGCACGCTCACCGTCCTCCCCACACCCACGATCTTCTCAGCGCCGGACCCCAGCACCCACGTGGCGCTCTCTCCCATGGCGCGCAGGCTCGTCCAGCTGCTGGCGTCCTTGGAGATCTCCACCTTCTCCACCGCGTCCACCACGCCCAGAATCTGAATCGCGAACCAGTAAGGGTTGCTCCCCGGCATCACCCGTACCGCAAAGGTGCCGTTGCTAGGGCACTCCACGCCGCGGTACTTAATCTCTACGCGGCCCGGTCGCGGACGATTTTGTCCCACGCGGTCGAGGAGAGGAGGAAATCGCCGTTGCCTTGCTTCCCGACGGCGCGCACCGTCACGCTGCCGCCCCTGCAGCTCTTGTGGTTCTTGCAGGAAACCTCGTAGCACGTGCCGCAGCCCTTGCCGCCGTTGTATTGGCTTGGAGGAATGTACGCCGTCAAGCCGCCGTTGAAATAGGTGCTGTTGCGGAAGTCACCCTTGTAGTTGCACGCACCGCCTCCGTCATTGAGTCCCACGCTGAAGCTGGTGAATACGGCGCTGGCGGGAGTGAGGGCGAGAGCAAGCATGAAGAATGCGAGGCACAGCACGCCGCTGATCTTGGAAACATGAGCCATCGCGCGGTATTGAGTAAGAGAGGCGGAAATCGCAGGGAATGGTGTGGCAGAGGAGAGATTCAAAGCTAAAATCGGAATTTGAGTCCTTGGAAATCGAGCACTACTAGAGCTGTGGACGAACTGAATGATGATTTGCTCGAAATAGCTGGCGATTATGTAGAGCTCTAGCGACGCCGTCGTGTGAACCTGGAACCTGAGAGGCAAGAGCCGTTCTTTGAGTCGCCATTGGGATTCTGTTGTGTTGGAAGCGCTTCGGTAATCTCGGTTGCGCCCAGGAAGGTCGCAATGTGCTTCGTTTTTCCTTGCGACGTCGAGATGTGAAACGTCAACAATTATTGCCCAAGAACTGACGGCCAGTTGACAGCGTGACTGACGGAGGAGTGTCCATCCGTTAAAAAATGGAGACATCCGTAGGTCAAAGACCTCGCAGGCGAGAGGCGCAATGACAATAATTGCTGAGGGAATGATGTCATTCCGTCAGGTCGTGGGACCTGGTGGGAATCTTACGTGCGAAGATGACTCGGCTAAAAACCTGGTTTTACCTGTCGGACGGGCTCAACAATTATTGGACTGTTTGGGTCGTCACAGTTTTTTCCTCGCCTGTAGCCTGGCTGGCGGACGAATGCACAATCATTTGTGTTTAGCCTGTGTTGAGCCAAAACCGTTCCTCTGGGAGAATTGATGCGTGATTGGAGCAGCACGAGACCGCTCCACCAGAGTCCGTATTTCGTGGTGTGAGCTGCTTCGTTAGGGTAACTCGGAACATTTACTGCTCGCTACCAATACCATCTTTCGCAGGCACTAGCTCTGCCTGGCGATTGGCTCAACAAGTACTGTCGCAACGTCGACGGGTAACATACTAGGCTTCATCACTCTCAGCGGGATGGACGACAGGAATCAGAGCGCAGCGAACTGCAAGGCTCGCGACGAACCCCATTGGTTTTTCTGAGCGAATTCCTGCCAGTGTTCCGAACACCACGCACCCCTGCCAGCTCTCTCATTTGCTCTTGTTCTCACCCGCCAGCATTAGGATTTTTCGATCCGCATCACGGATTTCCAGGTTTGAAGGGACAGAGCAATATACTCTAAGCGTCTCCTTTCCAGCATTGGTGTGATAACTTCTTGGCGTCATTTACTCTCAAACTTTAAAACAAATCTCGTTCAAAGACCTATAATACTAGAAATTCACCATCCGAGCCCCCAAACGGGTTCATCTCCGAGTGCTAGTAATGTAGGTAAATACTAGGCAAGTACGCCAGAAACATAAGGCAAGCTGGGAGCGATACGAAGCTGGTGCTCGGAACGCTCGCATGAATTCGCTCTCAAGCAGTGAACCGCTCATTTAGGAACCTCGGGTCGCCCTGATGACGATACCAATTGCATTCAAACAATGTCGCGCGCTATTGCCCCCATGCCTGCATGTTTCCCCACGCCGAACTAGGCATCAGCGGGTTTCTACATGTTTAGCAAAAATAAACCACGAACTTCAAAGGAAGTCTCTGCTAACCACACGAACATCGCCAACTGAGGTACACCCTGATGCGACACTGGAAGCGGAAAATATCCATCCTGGTCCCTCATCGAGGGCTGCATGAGCGAATCTCGACGATCGCCGCATGAGTCACTGTTTTCCTTTCGCTACGTGGGACTGCTGATCTCGCAAGTATCGTTTCTGCTGGAAAGTTGCGTTCCACTTGTTACAACCCTTTTCACTAATCACAATGCAAAAGGCAACAAGCAAGTGGATCTCCAGAGATAGCACCCGAACAAAGGCTAAAACAGTAGCCCTGAGACGACCTAAGAGTCTCAGGGTCGTCTGCCCAAGAAGCGTCTGTGTGCCCTGTGAGAACCACTGGTCTGCGTCCTCCAAGCACTAACCCCATGCCCGATGTACTTGCGAGATATCGCAAAACCCTCTTAGCGGCCGACAAGTGCTGTAATCGATGTTTGCCGGTGGCCACAAAGCGAGCCAGGATGCTTGGAGGGTATGTGACATCTGGGGGAGTGCAAGTCTTCAGGTACATGTGGCAACCCACCAGCTCTGCGTAGGGGCCGCTGGAATCTACTGGCTCCTCAGGAACGGGAGCGGAGAGCCCATGGTCTCCAGGTAGAGGTGTGGGCTGTGCGGAGGAGAACTGAAGATCGAACCTCTGAAGGACCTGATGCACCAAGTGTGACTGTGTCAGAGTGATGGTGCGTGCTGCTCTGTCCCTGGAGATCTGCATGCCGAGATAGCGACGCAGCTCTCCAAGGTCAGTGCAAGTGTGTCTCTTCAGCAGCTCTGCCTTCACGAAGGCCACTACGTCCCTGTCAGTAGTAGCGAAGACCAGGTCGTCTACGTAGATAAGGATGTAGAACAGAGTCTGGCCGGAACGCACAAAAAGTGAGGGATTAGCAGAGGACGGAAAGAACTGCAGGTCTGCTAGCATGGCACGCAGCGTGTCGTGCCACTCGCGGGGAGCCTGGCGCAGGCCGTAGACCGGGCGCCTGAGAAGCCACTGAAGCCTGGAAGGTACCAGGGGGGAAGGTACCAGTGAAGCCCTGTCGTCGGCGTAGGTAGACCTGCTCGTGTAGGCTGCCCTGAAGAAAGGTAGTAGAGAAGTCGAGGGAGTGAAGCTCGTAGTCGCGCTGTGCTGCTACGTGTAGCAGTGCCCGAAGAGTAGTCATCTTCAGGGTCGGGGCGAAAGTCTGGAAGAAGTCCACCCCCTCGCGCTGGCTGAAGCCTCTAGCCACGTAGCGCGCCTTGAAGACAGACGGCTCTCCAGGGGGCGCTTCACCTTGAAGAGCCACCGACCATCGACTACGTTCACCCCAGGTGGGGGAACTGCGTCGACGTAAGTGCCGGTGGACCTCCAACATGCCATCTCCTGCTCCATGGCAGCTATCCACTGAGAGGCCCAGGGTCCCGAGGTGGCCTCAGCGTAGGTGCGAGGGGTCGGGATGTCGAAGGCGTCTCGGTCACCCTCTGGGACTAACAGCATGGAGCAGAGATGGGGAGTGGCCTCGGAAAGGAAAGCAAGCTCGTGCTGCCTGTCCTCTAGAACGTCACTGCCAAGGGCAGGTGCACCCCCGACGGATGGAGGACAGGCAGGGTCAGAGACCAGAGCGGTAGCGTAATCAAGGCGGCGGGTAGAGACGAAGTCAGCGACAGCAGCGACAAGCGCGTCAAGGCGCGAGACAGGAACAGACGGGTCTGTAACAAGAGAGGTGAGGACCCGAGGGACAAGGGGACGAGCGGCACAGATGTAGTCAGACAGCTAGGGAGGTGCAACAACAAGCGACGAGGGAGGAGGCAAGGGGAGGAGGGGAGGACGAGACGAGTGGGAATGGAGCAACATAGGGTGGGAGCGCAGGACAGGAGAGACGGGACGAGCACGTGAGGGACGGCGAGACCAAACGTGGGACGGAGGTGTTGGGTCAGGAGACAGCGGAGGGGACACAAAAGGGGAAGGAGGAGGAAGACGGGCCGGAGAAGAGTCCGGGGGCGGGAACACAGGGCCGTAGACAGGAAGGTGAGAAGGTAGTGGGGGAGACACCGGCAAGCGGTCAGGGGAGGGACGGCCGAGCAGGCAAAGAGCGGAGACCGGCGGCGACGGCTGCGGCGGCTGCTGCGGCGGCAAGGTCTCGACCCGCGGACCGGCAGGGGCATGACGACCGGTGGGAGAACACTCAACGGCAGCACCCCCAGAACCACCACCCCCAGAGCAAGAACCCCCTCCAACACCAGTGGCACCTCCAGGCCTGCCGGGACAGACCATGCCAGGAGCCGCAGAACGAACACTCTCCTCAACGCCAGTACCCCCAGAGGCCAAGAGCGGCAGCAGCGGCTGCGACGGCTGCGGCGTCTGCGACAGTGGAGGCGGAGACACCGGGGAAGGGAGACGTGGCAAGGACGAGCCGGGGGGACCACCAGAGTCAGCAGACTCCTCAACGGGGACAACCGATGGGAAGGGAGTGACATGCGAGACACCAGACGGGACAGGACGAGGCAGAGGGGAGCAGTGGCTACCGGGGGAGAGGGAGCAAGGAAAAGGGGGGGGAGAAACTGGGAGACCTCGGTGAGGGAAGCGACCGAAGAAGGAGACAGACTCGTCAAAGGTGACGTCACGAGAGTGAAGGAAGCGGTGAGACTGCGGGTGGTAGAAGAGCCAGTCAGACGAGTCCAGGGGGAAACCGAGGAAGACACAGGGGACAGTGCGGGTGTTGAGCTTGTCCGTGCTAGAGGCACGAACGTGAGCAAGGCAACCCCAGACGTGGAATGCAGACGCGTCACCGGGGGACCCGGTCCAAAGGACGGTCGGCGAAACCTGCGGCCGCTGGGAGCGTGGCCACAAGTTAAGCTGGTGAGCAACTTAGCGAACAGCGAACGGCCACAGAAAATGGGGTGCATCGGTATGAATCATGGAGGTACGAGCAACGTCCATGACCAAGCCGATGCGGCGCTCAGAAACCCCATTCTGTTGTGGCGAGTCCGGCAAGGTGTACGACTGGGTGATGCCCTCTGCATGACAGAACTGGCCAAGCCGACCAGAGGCGAACTCGCCGCCACAGTCAGAGTGGAGACACAACACGGGGAGACCGCAGTGAAGACGCGCAGCCACAACCCAAGGGAGTAGAACGTCAAGCATGCTCCAGGGGAAACACTGTGGTGTAGCGCGTGTAGTCGTTGACGAACACAAGAAAGTAGTGCTCAACGCGCGGTCCGGGGACGGGGGCTGGGCCCCAAACGTCCATGTGCAGGGTCTGAAGGGGAGCAGTAGTAAGGCGAAGTGAGGAGGAGTGAGAGGCACGGCAGAGCCGGCCCTCGACGCAAGGCGTGCACGGTGGAGCAATCGAGGGGGGAGGGCCTGGGAGCGACGCGGGGAGGCCTAAGACAAGACCGTGCTGAGACATGTGACGCAGACGCAGCAGAGCAGGGTGACCTAAGCGGTGGTGACACAAAAGGGACGGGTGAGAGAGGGACCGACACGAGCAAGCTGCAGCGACCTTGGAGGACACACCAACCGGGGGGGAAGCGGTGTCGAGGGTAAACAGACC